TTCTAACTACTGATACTTTTGAAGAGTGAATCGATGGAATACTCCCCGCCCCTCTCCCCCCCCCCAAAAAAGCCCTGATATTTTTCTGTGACTATGAGCAAAAAAATAAATACAGATTACTGCTGTATAAACCAACTCGCCACCTAGTGTTTACTGAACTTTTCTACTAATTATGATCTAAAATTTTAAGTATCTGAAAATGTATGTAGCATAGTAAGTTTTTGTTTGATGAGGTAAATAACAGAATTAATTCTCTAAATTTAGAGAAACTTCAGCAATAAAGAAATAATTTTATAGAACTGATAATTCTGTTCATATTATAGTTTTTGAATTGGAGATATATAAGGTTTATGTCTTGCTATATTCAATCCTGGATGCTTGACTAAGAAGCATTGCTAACTGGAGAAATTACTCGTCAGTGTTTGTTTGTTTTTTCTTTTGAGGACCAGTCTCTCGCTGACAACAAAAGTTACAACATATGGAATACAATTAATGATACCAATGACGAATAAATGTGTGTGTTTCGTAGCACATTACAATTTTAAAGATTTCACACTTAAGTAAATAGTTTAGAAGTGAATGCACTATTTCTCATCTACCTTAGTCACAGTTTTCTAAGATCTAGCACATTCATTTAAACTTTTATAGTTGGAAGTCGGTAAGGACTGAGAATACTAACAAAATGTTGATGCTGCTTTGGAGAGAAACCTGAAACATCTCTCTAAGTTATGTGACTGAAACATCCACAGATCTTAGCTCTCCTCCAGAGTAGCAGATGATGCCCAGAGCCTTGAGTGAATTCATTTGGAAATTTTAGCAGTCTAAGACTGGATAAGACCTCAAGTCCATCCTTCTGCACAGAATCAGGACCAAGAAACCAGACCAGCCCTCATTTATTCCTGCCTGTCTTGGTTTGTCTAACCTGTTTGTGAGCAAAACTAATCCCCAGTGAAAGTTTCCACAAAGTCCTTAAGTAGCATCTTCCAATATTTTACTACCTTATAGCTAATTTCCAATATTTAGCCTAACTCCTGCAAGTTATGCTAATTTTGTCCTTTTCTTAGGAGCCATAGAGAACAAATGAGTTCTGTTCCATAATCTTCTGTGCATTGAAAGACCTCCCACTCCCCCTCCTCTTCCCTCCCAGCCTTAATTTTATCTTTTGCATAGAATAACCAAACCAAGTTCCTTCAGTATTTTCTTATGAGCCTTATTTTCTATCCCTTTTTTGTTCTCCACCAGATTCTTTCCAGTTCATCTGCATATTTCTTTAAAGTGCAATGCCCACAATTGAACACAGTATTCAAATTCTTTTAGAAAGGTTCATTATCTTGAGCACTGTCAGTAAGATCAGAGAAAATCTGCTTTTGCTTCTGACTCCCTACTATGCCCCCCGTATTCTTTGACTGAGTCTAAAGCAGGAGAATTCCTGCATTTTTTTATTGAAATCAGCTGTAACCCAGTCTGGCTGACTCCTCCTTCCATCTATCTATTGATGTCCTCCAAATAATGTCCTCAGAAATGAGGCAGCCAGAGACAAGTGGGAAAGTATAAATATGCCAAAGCAATTGGTATATTCAGAAATGTTTTAATATAACTATGAGGAAGCTTTAATTGGTCATTTTATGCCCCTTCCAAGTTTTATATCCCATAAAAATCAGTATACTCTTAGCCACTTTACATGCCTTATAATTAGGGCTGCGCAGTTGAACAATAATAGAATACCAATTTATTATAAATATTTTTGGGTGTACATACGAGTACACAAACCCTAGACAGTCCCCAAGACCTGGCCCTCCAAATCCTGTCATGTTGTTCCCCCTCCCCCTCCCCCTGGCCTAGACGCTTACCTGCATCCAGCTTCTGAGTCTGCTTCCAGGACCTTGCCTTGCTGGTCTGGGTGTAGGGTGGGGGGCGGGGGGCGTGTCTGCCTGGTGTGTGTCTTGCGGGGGGTGGGGGGGTGTCTGCTTGGTGCATGTGTGTGGGGGGCAGGGTGGTCTGCCTGGCGCGCACACGTGTGTGGGTCTGCCTGGCATGTGGGTGTGTGTCTGTGGCCAGGCAGCAGCAAGTGGGGAGAGGCTGCCTTTCTCCTAGCAGCCCAGGCAGGCATGCACCAGCGACAGGAGAGGGGCTGCTTTTGCAGCACAGGCAAGCAGACAGCATCAAGGGGAGAGGGGTTGATTTTTTTTCCCCCCATCACCAGCAGCAATTAACATGCATTAAAAAATTAACGCAAAATCAAATTAATGCATTAATCGCAATTGACAGTCCTACTTGTAATCATCATGCATGGAGCCACATACTGACATATTAAACAGCATAGGACAAAAATCAAAACAAATCAAGCCAGAATGAAACTTCTTTTCATTATTCCCAAAGTATTTCCTTTCAATGTTCTGCAAAACAGCTTTTCATCCACACACTTGTTTTTCCAAATGCACACAGTAACGTTAGCTTGTTTAATGAATCTTTCTAAGCTAGAAAGAATATTTAGAAATCACTTGTTCTATGCTTAGAACTTCTTGAACAGCCTTAAATTTCAATGGCTTTCTGAAATCACTTAGCAAAGACTTCTGCTGAGCCATGTGGAACTTGCACCCTAATGCTTTAGCTGCCTTTATGTATTGAAATGTCATTTTAATGCATTGAATTTTTTTTTCTAAACAGGAAGTCCGTAAAGTAAATGAGAGTATCAAGTATAATCATCCTTTGAGAAAATGTATTGATACAATATTGAAAAAGGTAACCAAATATTAATACATTTTAGAGACTGTATTTTCATTGCAGTTGTCAAAAAATGCCTTTTAGCCTTCTGAAGACTCCTTGTTCAGGAGTAAGGTTTTTATTGAATAAATCAAAATGTTTAAACTATAGTATAATTAAGTCTTGAGGCTTTTATGGTTAAGTATTAATTCTATCTAAAAAATTCTGTGAGAAATAATATGCGTGGAATATAGTTGTATAAGCATATTTTGAACTAGTGGTTAGAACTTGCCGTTTTCTTTTTTTGTATTTAAGCCACCTAGACAAATATTGTGAAGGATGGCTGAAAAGGTTGATTTTTCCTTTCTATTTTTATGTATGATGCCCTATTCTGAACTTATTGTTACACACTTGAGTATAAACCATCTTTGTCTAACAAGATATATATGTTTTTTTAACAATTGCATGCAGAACATTAACTTAAAGTGCCCCCACTGCCATTTTGAAGCACCGGGATGCTGATAACGCGAGACGCAGAGGCTGGCTGGAACGCACCAATTACAGTGTGTTAGAGCAGCCTTCCGGCATGTCTACAGGCATGCTTTGATTCTGCAATTTTTTCACTCGCAGAAAGGAAGTTAAAGTGCTTTAGTTAAAGCATCCCCGCTGCCATTTTGTAGTATGGGGATGCTGATACACAAGATGCTGCATGTGCTTTAATTAAAGCGCCACCCCCCCGCTACTCCTGAAGCATGTGTAAGAATGCTCAAAGAGTGAAAAATATTTAGTATCCTAACTGAAATGTACTTCAGTTACATCAGGTGTGCAAAACTAAATGTTTTGAGTATCTTTATGGTAAGGTTATACCTTTTATAAAAAGAAGTTTGTCAATTCTTGTACTGCTAGTGTCCTACTGAGTATCAGGAAAGGATGGGCAGGAACATGGATGACTATGAAGACTTTGAAGAAAAGCAGAACAGTTATCCGAGTGAGAAAAGTCTGGTCAAACTTCACAAACAGGTATCTTGATAAGTGTATAGTTGCATCGTTTCTCTTGCTTGGTAGTCACTTAAGACTGCTTTATTTTAAGTTTAAATGCACTGAGATCATTTTGTGTTTTCTACGCAATTTTTTTGTTTGCAGCTGCAAACAAAATGTTTATTTAATTTCATTGCCTGTTCCTTCTGCTCTTACAGCAGTAAGAACTGCATACAAACAGCTGAATATCAGTTCATACAGATTTGCAGGAGGAGTTTTGTGAGGTTTTGTACTGGCAGTCTTGGGGATTCCTAGGGTTGATGATTGTCTGCAAGTTCCAGGGACTGAACTTGGTGGCCCAGGAGACCTCTTCCAGTCCTAAGTTCCTGCCTAGATACACTGTAGCATGTTGTTGGTGCTTGTGATTATACATAAAACTGTATGACTTTCATAAAGAATCTTAAAGAGAAATTGTAGCAAAAGCATAAGAAATTAACTGATAGAATATGGTGAAAGTGCTAGAGAAGTGAAGTGCTCAGTTTGGCAGTATTTTGTCATACGTCTGTTTTTCATAAAGATAAGCAAATACATGGAATTAATCTTTGTACTCATGTGATTGTGTAAGCAGTATAGTATGTATTTCCTAAATTTTTCCCCTCTTACTTTCTGGATTGAGTATGTTACAAAATGGAACTTGAGGTTTCTTTTACCATAGGTGATTTATTCAGTTCAGAGACACCGTCGTACACAAGTCCAGTGGCAAATTCTTTTAGAACAAGCATTCTATCTTGAGGATGTGGCAAAAAATGAAACCAGTGCAACTCGTCAGTTTGTACATACTTTTCAATCCCAGGAACCTGAAAACAGAATTGTGCAATACTTCTACACGCCAACTGTTGGTATGTCTGAACTGGCAAAAGTACTATGCTCTTAAGGAATTCTTTGGATCATATCACCATAGTGTGCACGTGTCTGAGAGAGTACAAGGATATTTCAGAAACTTAACATCAATTTTGAAATAAAAACATTTTGTGCCCCATGAGTTAGAAAGTACCCAACAGTGGGGCTCCCTGGTGGGATCTTTGAACACACCTGTTGTTTACAACTATGTAGAGAATTGACATGGTCTAGTAAAATACCATTGCACACAAAATGATTTCATTTGAAATTTCCATTACTTTTTTAAATGCCTTCCTATCTTTGTAGTTGAATAGTTAAAACAGATAGCTGTCTTCATGGAAGCACTGACACACTTTTTAGTGATTCCAGTTATACTGTCTTATTCCTAGATGCAAGCTTAACTTCAGAATCTCAGACTTTGTCTCTCTTCCTCATCTCTAACCAAGTGTAATTTTAATGTTTTATATTAAAAATCAGATGGTATGTGAAATTTGTATATTTTTTGCATATTTTACTTGCATTGTGCCAAGTTGTTATTTGTGAAACAGGAGCAGCGTATTGAAGTGATGATCCCCACAGTTCCACGTTTGCTAGTGCTCATGTGCTACTTTGGATTCTTTAGGACTAGCAGGGGCTGCACGTTAGCAATGCTACTTTGAAATAATATTTTAGAAAATAATTTTCTGTTTCTCTTCACTAATCTTTGTGGGGGTTTCTTCTTTTTCTAGAGTGGTACTGGGAGTGTCTCCTGCGGCCATGGTTTTGCAGGATTCTTGCCATTGTGTTGGCTGCTTTCTCTATAATTGTTGTGTGGTCAGAGTGCACATTTTTCAGCACTAGGCCTGTTTTGTCCCTGTTTGCAGTGTTTATACAACTGGCAGAAAGAACATACAACTATATTTATATAGAGGTAAGGTTTGAGTTTGATCATCTACCAATTTTATTCTTTTGGTCTGTTTGTTTGTTTGTTTTAAATCCCTGCCATAGTGATAGTGACTGTGACTACATTGAAATTAGCACTTGTTAACTACTGTCCCTTAAATTAACCACGGATGGGAATTACAGGTGCTCTTTGAGATGTGCAGCCCTGTGCAAGAGGAATTGCCCTCTTGTGGTGTACACCAGAGTCTGACCCAGTTAAGTGAGGCACTGTAATCTGAAACAAATGGAACTTGGGTTTGTTCTGAGGTCATGGGTTGGAGGTGTGATGTGTAGCCTCCTCAAGCTCTGTTTTCTGGGCTGATTTATTTTCCTTTTGTTTTTCTGAGCTTCCATGTATGCAGACCTCTGCCTCTGAATGACCAATCCATAGTTTTAAGAGGTATGGTTGGCTTAAGAGAACACACAAAATAGGAACTGAGCTCCAAATTTGGAGCCTGCTAATAAAACGGAATGAATTTTAAAGATATGATTTTTGTCATTTTCATGCAGGAAAAGCTCCCAAGCTACTTAAAGCAGCTGATTTAGTGCTACCTTTATTCATCCATTTTTTTTCTATTTTAGTTCATCCCCATTATCTAGTTGTATTTAGAAACAGTTTGTTTACAGCAGCAAATGCATATTCCTAGTATGTTTGTATAGTAAGGGTGTTAATCAGGATATCATTTAGCTTTTTAAAAACATACTTCATACTCTTTCCATTTTTATTTTTTTAAAAAGGCTTCTATATGTACTGTCAAACTGGAAACTTAGTTTTTTAGAAATACTTTATATGCATTGGTTGTATTAGAATACCATGCCAAATTATATATATATTGAGAATTTATTTCTATTTATTTATTGCTGTATTCTAACAGTCTTGTAATTACCTTGAAATTGCATTGAATTTTAAGTTGTAGAAGTAAAAGTAAAAAAAAGGAATATTTTTGTCTTTTAGATGGCTTGCTTCCTTACCATCTTCTTCTTAAGTATCTGTGTTTACTCTACTGTCTTCCGGATCCGTGTGTTTAACTATTATTACTTAGCTTCCCACCATCAAACAGATGCATACAGTCTCCTTTTCAGTGGCATGTAAGTATGTATTGTTTCTGAGAGCATTTCAAATAATAGCATTTTTAATGGTGAGAGTGCTTCAAGTGTAACCCTCATCAGTCAGGTGGAAATAAATTTTATTTTCAGTTCACCTTTAAAGCAATCTAATTCCTAGTTGTGGTGTATTTTTCTTAATACGAATCTTCTAAATGGGGAAATTGTTTAAAAGTTGCTAACTTTTAAATTCAATTCATACAGGTTATTTTGCCGTCTTACTCCACCACTGTGTCTGAATTTCTTGGGTTTGACTCACATGGATTCATCAATCTCTCACCAAAACACACAAGTAACTGCATATACATCGGTAGGTGTAGAAGGAGAATTTTTTTATGTTACAAAATAGTTTGATAATAACAAAATATATTAATGTGAAATACTTATATTAAGAGTATCACTTGATTTGCTTTCTTGACTTGCATGGTGCCAGGCTGGAAGCTATTGTCCAGACTCATTCATTAGGCAAGAGAAAGCTACTGATTGTAAATCATTAGCAATCAGGCTGTGGCTCTGTTTTTAGTCTATAAATAATGAGAATGTTTTCAGCCAGTGGTGCTCAACTTTTTGGCTCCCTGGGCCAGATGAGTGGGCTGGGGTTAGTCCATGGGCCCGACAGAGCCCCGTGTGCTGGGCTTTCATAGATTCATAGACATTAGGGCTGGAAGGGACCTCAGAAGATCACTGAGTCCAGCCCCCTGCCCCAGGGGCAGGAAGTCAGCAGGGATCATAGGATCCCAGCAAGATAAACATCCAAATATCTCTTGAAGGTGTTCAAAGTAGGTGGCTGAACCACCTCTGGCAGCAGTCTATTCCAAACCTTGTGGGCTCGGACAGTAAAGAAGTTCTTGCTTATGTCCAGCCTGAAATGGTCATGGAGGAGTTTGTGACCGTTCAACCTTGTCATCCCTTGAGGGGCTCGGGTGAACAAACGTTCCCCCAGATCCTGGTGAGCACCCCTGATAAACTTATAGGTGGCTATCAGATCACCCTTGAGCCTGCGTTTTTCCAGGCTGAAGAGTCCTATGGCTCTCAGCCTCTCTTCAAAAGGTCTGTTTTTCTGCCCTCTGATCATGCACATGGCTCTCCTCTGCACTCTCTCAAGCTTCTTCACCTCCTCTTTGAATTGTGGAGCCTAAAACTGGACACAGTATTCCAGCTGCGACCTCACCAAGGCCCAGTACAAGGGGAGAATGATGTCCTGGGATTTGCTTGAGAAGCATCTATGGATGCAGGCCAGCATTTTGCTTGCTTTACTAGCTGCAGCATCACATTGAAGGCTTATGTTCCTCTTGTGGTCAGTCATGCCCCCTAAGTCCCTTTTGTCTGTAGTGCTAACCAGTGTAGCATTGCTGAGCCTATAAGCATGCTTGCATTTTTCGGAGTTAAACACCACCAGGTTCTCGTCCGCCCATTTTCTGATCCTGTCATGGTCAGCCTGGATCACCCTCCTGTCCTCAGGTGTGGTCGCTTTACCCCAGAGTTTGGTGTTGTCAGCGAACTTGGCAAGTCCGCTTCTGACACCAATGTCCACATCATTAATGAAGATGTTGAATAGTATAGGCCCAAGGACAGAGCCTTGAGGGACCCTATACTTGGGACATGAGATTGGCATTGAGCCCACATGACCCTGTAGACTGGGATCAGCTGCCTGATTCCAGTTGGCAGGGCCCAGGGCTTCCCATGGGCCTAGAAATTTGGCCAGAGGAACCAGTGCCACCACTCTTCCATCACCAGATTTCTGGACTGATGGGGAGCACCACAGGCCAAGTCACTGGATCAGGCACCCCTGATGAGCAGGGGTTGAGTACCCCTATCCTAAGCTAACTGAAAAGTGCAACATTACTTTTTTAACTTGTATGTAATGATTGCATTTGTACATGAACAGTATAGTTTTATGTTTAGTTTTCAGTCTCAACTTTTTCTCTTTTAAAGTAGATATTTATTGAACACCTTAACGGTTTGATATTAACAGAATTACCAGTTCTGGTGGTAATCTGTAGTAAGAATAAATTGTGAGGTTTTATATAGATTTAATACAAAGATGCCTACCCAAGTATACCTTTTGACCAGTACTGTGGTAGTGTGGTGCACACTGACAATTTATTGATAAATGCTGAGAAGTAGAGGGTGATTTAATGAGTTATTACACGTATGTAGGTAGATGCATAGAGAATGTAGACCTGACTGTAATGAAGCTGGCACTAAAAGTGGGAATATGAGAAATGTGAATACACAAAAAGACTAGAAATAATAAGATCTTGTTTTAATATTAATGCATCTTTTTCTTTTCAGATAATGGGCTCTATGCGAGTGTTATCCTTCATTGCAGATGGATTTTATATATACTATCCAATGCTGGTTGTCATTCTCTGTATTGCCACTTATTTCAGGTGAGTTATTCACACCTCTAAACGTATGAATTTTTTGTTTTTTTGAACACCACTAATTTCACAGGGTAAGACTTTTCTCCCAACCTTTGAGCTGTTGCATTGACTTAATCTTCAGTGTTTTCAACTAGTTTAACATTGTAGTGTCTGTACATTTTAAGTATAATACTCTTAGCGCTGATGGGTAGCTGAATTTTTCCATTAAATTTCCTTCTTAGATTTTTGGGGATCTGTGCTGCTTCAGCTGTAGTGGAAAATCTTGTTTCCATTAGTTGAAGACTGGATTTCATTAGCTGGGAGTTATATTTCTGGTATGATCATCTAATATACTAAGCAGTGTTAGCAGAGTTTGAGAACAGCAAACCTTCTCTAATACACTTGTTTTGATTGGCAAGTTTTCTAAATTGATTAGTATTTATTTGGAAGGCTCGTAGCACCTGGTGTTTCAGCCCTCTAATCTCTACATTTTCATTTGTTTAGAGGTTGCATATGTAAAATTGTCTGTCACTAGGATATAGTTCATGATACCTTATTAGATTGCCCAATTTTGTTATAGGCCTCAGTAAAGGCATCAAGAATAGGACCCAGCCCAGACTAGCCTCAATTTGTTTTTCTGACATGGCACTATGAAGAGACTGCAGAAATTGATATGGTGAAGGGAGGAAAAAAGTTCCAGCAATAACTTTGCAAAAACGTGTGCGCCATCAAGTATTTTTCTTTTC